CCCCCAGCCCGTGCCCCCTCCCCTGACTTCTCCATCAAGATTAATAACATAACCATCAGTCCCTCCCCTCATGCCAGGGTACTAGGTGTAATCCTAGACTCCCATCTGTCTTTTCAGCCCCAAATCCAATCACTGTCCAAATCTTGCAGACTTCACCTCCGCAACATCTTCAAGATACGCCCGTTCCTAACCTCGGAAACCACTAAGCAACTTATTCACTCCCTGGTTATATCTCGCCTTGACTATTGCAACTCCCTCCTCATTGGCCTACCGAATTGCAGGCTATCCCCTCTTCAGTCTATCATGAATGCTGCTGCCAGACTCATCCACCTTACTAACCGTTCTGTATCTGCCCTCCCTCTCTGCCAATCCCTCCACTGGCTTCCCTTTGCCCAACGGATAAAATTCAAAACATTAACAATAACGTATAAAGCCATTTATAACTCTGCCCCAAATTACATCAACAACCTTGTCTCTAAATATCACCCAAACCATACTCTCCACTACTCGCAAGACCTCCTGCTCTCTAGCTCCCTTGTCTCTTCCTCCCATGCTCGCCTCCAGGACTTTTCCCCCATCCTCTGGAACTCTCTACCCCAATTTATCAGACTATCGCCTACTCTGCTCACTTTTAGGCGATCTCTGAAAACCTATCTCTTCAGGGAAGCCTATCCTGCCCTCAGCTAATAATGGAATCTTCTACTCTTCCTACCAGTCCATCCCCCACAGTTACTACCTTTTGTACCACTAGGCCCTCCCTCCTAGATTGTAAGCTCCAAGGAGCAGGGCCCTCCTTTCCCTCTTGTATTGAACTGTATTGTTGCTGTATTGTCTCCAGTTCTATTGTAAAGCGCTGAGCAAACTGTTGGCGCTATATAAATCTTTTATAATAATAATAATCTCTCAAATTACGCCCCCCCCCCCATATGGAAAGAAAAAATTAAGGCATTTACCAATTAGGCCTACTATCCCTACTTTAATCTTTCGAGTCTTGCTATTTAAAATTGTCCTGCTTCTAGCGTATTTTAGTGTTGTTTTATATGCCGTATCTTAAGTCATATAGTAAAACACCTATGTACTCTTTTTCTCTTGCACATTTCTGCAAAGTTTCCCCTGATTAAAAATGTCCTTTTGCTGGCCAATTTTACATTGCTGTATCAGATAGAGTACAAAAAAACAAACAAACATTCATTCACAGCCAAATATGCACTGCCAGTATATGCTATCGCTGAGACTATCCATACATATTGTACTGTCCTGTAAGACCCCATACAGGTTTAGGGCAATCCCTAAGAATATTATTTGAGGGTTTTCTGTATTTTCAGTGTTGCCATTGAAGCAGTATTAAAAGACCCTTTCCCTGCTGTACAGTATTTGTTTCTAATTTTTGCATTGATACATGTTCCCCGTGTTAGTGACCAGCTTCCTATGTTTTTTTTTTTACTGCAGTTTACATATGAGCCCTTAAAGTGGTTGTAAAGGCTGAAGGTTTTTTTACCTCCATGCATTCTATGCTAAAGGTAAAAAACCTTCTGTGTGCAGCAGCTCCCCCACCCCCTCAATACTTGCCTTATCGAGATCCAGCGATGTGAATAACAGCCTCTGCTGCCCCGGGTCTCTGCCTTCTTATTGGCTGAGACAGCAAGTGGGAGCCATTGGTTCCCACTGCTGTCAAGCGCATCCAGTCAGCCAATGAGGAGAGAGAGGGGCAGGTCCAAGCCGCGGCTCTGTGTGTGGGAGCAGGTGCCCCCATAGCAACCTGCTTGCTGTGGGGGCACCCAACAGAAAGGAGGAGCCAGGAGAGCCTGCAGGGGACCCGAGAAGAGGAGGATCCATGCTGCTGTGTACAAAACCACTGCACTCAGTAGGTAAGTATAGACATGTTTGTTATTTTACAAAAAAAAAATTAACCTTTAGAATTTCTTTAAAATAGACAGAATCTGATAAGATTTTCCCCTAAGATCAGGTTTGCCAAATTTTGAACAATTTCGCCTAAAGCTTGACAAATCAAACCTGGGCAGATTCGACCATCCCTACTAATTACCCCTCACAATCTCTCCAATTTTTTTGAACTGTTCAGTTTTATGGAACTGTTTGTTCAACAGTGCCAAGCCCTGACTAAGGGAGCCATTTGAACCCTGAAACATGTTGGATTTTCATAATACAGGATTCTGAATAAAATTATATCTGGACTTCATACATTCTGCTTTTGGCTATTTCTGCCTTGCACACCCAGTCTCTATGGTTAGGAGCCATTCTTTGGAAACCACTCCTGAGTAAGCCTCCCAAAGCTAACCATACATGCACAGATTTATCTATGTGTGTATGTATGTAAATTGAAAAAATTCCTTTAAACATTGTGGATGGAGGAATGTTTATTGCTAGCTATTTTATTCAGACAGACCCAGCATCCATGGCTGTCTGAATACCTGATCAGTGACTGCATCCAATAGGATACAGTTACTGTTCAATCAAAACATTTCCACCTAGATCTTGGTTTTTAAATTGAAGTTTGTTGAGCTAGATGGTGCCAATATAGCTTAATAGAGAAGTGTACGTTTTCAGAAAAACTATCATACTCACCAAGGGTCTGATGCTGCATCTGTCTTCCACCACCTCTAAGACCAAAATAGACTGCCTCACTTTGTTCTCAGTCTTCAGTGAGCAGAGCGATGACTGCCAGTCACCTGATCTCTGCACTGCCCCCAGCACTCACTGGAGCACCAGGCCGTGGAGCTGGTGGGAGCAGTTTGCTCAGTCTCCCAACAGCACACTAAGAGGCTGAGCTATCTGACAATCAGGCATGTGGGTGGATCCCGACATTATTGTCTGGATCTTTGCAGAGCCCTGACCAGCTCTGTGATGTCAGCCATCAGCAGACTATAGCCCACTGTTGGCTGAAACTGGGCCACAAGAGAACAAAGTACACTCCTGTGACCCACAGACGAAGTATAACCAAAATAGCTTTGGCCATACTTCTCCTTTAAGGTTGGTCATACCTGTGACGATTGCGGCGTCAGACCCCAGCCCTTCTCATCAAACTTGTGACTGAAGGACTAGCCAATCTAAAACCGCGATGTCACGTGCGTAACAATGCCACAGCCAGCTGCACTCTGCACAAAGGTTTTCCAGCGAATGGACCACAATCGATGTACCAGCAGCCTGAGCACGATTGTTACCGGGTCAGGATAATTACTCAATTAACCCTTCACACTGCCACCACCTCCTTTTTGTACAGAGAAAGAGGAAACTCGGCAATATTAGCAATACACTAAGATGATTAGATAATCGTCTGTATACCACTGTCACCGCAGACAGGTTATACAGAGGGTTAAACCCACACAGTAGCGCTCTTCAGCGGCAGGAATTCGTAATTTGCATTAAAGAGCTTTAGAAACAGTTCAACACTTTCAGAAAGTAAGATTTATTACTAAAAGGGTGCAATAAATATATTTAGAAGAAAAGATGTAGCCAATATATATAAATCAATTTACAGAGAACAATAGCACAGCAAAGAGATAACAGAAGGAGTTTAAAGGGTTAAAGTACTTGCCAGTCAGCCTTGGTTTAAGCAGCTTCAAGTTTTATGAGCCCAAAAGGATTTCTGGTCTCCCACTGTTAGTTTCGATGTTAAAACAGGAGAGTCTTCTACTCTCACACACACCAGCTTCAAGCATAACAGCCTTTTTCTAGGATCTCAGCAGGGTGTCTCCTTACAGCAGAGAACCAATCGCCTCATTTGGAGAGGGGTGTTGGGGCAGAGACCCAAGCTAGAACAAAAATCCCTCCTAGCTTATATTATGGCCCATAACTTTTCCTAGGTACATGTAAAAATTCCACACAAGGGTGGATTAGTACGCAGAATCGTCTGCTGAATGTCTACATATGAAATATGATATACCTGCTGGGATGGTTAAGGAGATATTATTTTCTGCTCTCCTGTTGATCTCAGCTATGGGATGTAATATACCAAACGATTTGTATTAAAGTGAGCCATCCGAATATGTGCTCCATGTTTGTGTAATTACGTCCTACGTGAAGATATAAACTTATATGAAAAAGTGAGTTTTTAAAAGTAAGTCTGTTTTTATATGACCCCTTGGAAGGTCCTTTGAAGTTCAGTGAGGGACTTGGTTTACACTTTTACGATATCCCAGATTGCACAGCTAACAGACAGCTAGGCCCCAGCTCCGTTGGGGGGTTCTATAGCTCTGGAGCTCTCCTGCTTTGCCTTGACTGCCTGTGACCTCTGTCAGCACCCAGACCACATGTCACTCAACAGAGAGGGAGGGGGGGATGATTGGAGGAGAAAGCTTGCTTTGGGAGGGAGAGAGATGATACAACATGGAAGGGTTCTTAACAAAATGGAGGACCATGTCCATCTCTGTGTGCACGATTGCTACAATACCCTCTACACTGCTGGCCTGACCTGATTGGAAATAGCCTTTGCTAAAAGAGGTAAAGTGTTCAACACCTTCTTTCTACTTTCTCAATAATGAAAACGTACCCTTTACCTATATATACAGTCTATGTCCATGTCTGCTTGTAAATTACATAAATAAAGGACACTTATACTGAACTTCTAATTTCAATCTATTTAATAGTTGTAAGCAACAGGATGCAATGTCTTCCTTTCTAGGTATCATTATTTATCACTTACCTGGTGTGAGATAGTTGAAAGTTCCTTCTCCAGGAGGAGATAGTGTCACAGTTTTGCAGTGCTGTTCAATGAGAGAGTGTCTCTAATGATATAAAAGTAACTAGAATTTCTCTCTTCAGTTTTATGCACATATTCTGAAGACTAATGTAGATGTTTTAACCACCTTCCGCCCACCATATAGTACAATGACGGGCGCAAGGTGGTTCTCTCATTCTGATAGGACGTCATATGCTGTCCTTCCATTCTCACCGTGCATGCGCGGCTCAGGGAGCGCACAGCGCGGTGATCGCTGGTGCGCTGTGTCCCTCGGATTACGGAAAGAGCCGAAGATGTCGGCTCAGTCATGAGATCAGCTGTGTCCAATCACAGCTGATCACATGTAAACACGGAAATGCCGGTTATCAGCATTTCTCTCCTCTTGAGCTGTCACACTGACAGCTCGAGAGGTGAGGAGAGCCGGTAATCGGCTTTCCGTGGAGGGGACACGTACACTGATCATCAAGGCACTGATGATCAGTGTGCCCTCATGATCAGTGTGGCCCCAGAAGTGCCACCTGTCAGTGTCCATCAGTGCCAGCAGTCAGTGCTCATCAGTGCCACGTGCCAGTGCCCATCAGTGCCACATCAGTGCCACATATCAGTGCATACCAGTGCACATCAATGCCACATATCTGTGCCCATCTGAGCTGCCTTTCAATGTCACCCATCAGTGCCAGTCAGTGCCACCTATCAATGCCAATCAGTGCCACCTATCAGTGCTGCCAATCAGTGCCACCTATCAGTGCCAGTCAGTGTCGCCTATCAGTGTGCATCAGTGCTGCCTATCAGTGCCAGTCAGTGCCACATATCAGTGCCAGTCAGTGCCGCCTAACACTGCCAGTCAGTGTTGCCTAACAGTGCCAGTCAGTGCTGCCTAACAGTGCCAGTCAGTGCCGCCTAACAGTGCCAGTCAGTGCCGCCTAACAGTGCCAGTCAGTGCCGCAGAGGTGCATACAGTTTTATTAACAAATGCCAAAGTTGTAAAACTGTGTTAAAGTTTGTTCTACCTTGTGTCACAAAGGGATTAAAATAGATCTGTCAATACTTTTAATTTGACAATGTCTATTATTTACTCTTGTTTTGAATGCTTCTCAGTGCCATTGGGGGACCCAAACTCAGTTGCTCTATATGAAAGTGAATCCCTCTTATGTCCAAGGAATACATAGAATGGTGACTGCTATGAACTGCTGGACACAATACTGTCACCGTACCTAACTTCAGCTGAAGGTGGAAACTTACCTGTAAGCATGAAATATTTGTGTCCCTACAGAACACAGAAGGGCACAGAAGGAACAAAGCATGTAGTAATTTAGAAGTGGTGTTAGGGTCCCTTTCAAGGGACTGGATACTGTGTTTATAAAATTTTTTGTGTTTTTTTCAATTATGAATAGTCTTTGTTATTTTATTAAGCCAATCCTGTATTAAATATTATATTTCATATTTACATTTTCTAGGCAGTAAGTGGAACTTTATGCTCCTTTTCATGCTTACAAGGTTAACTTTCAAGGATCCTTTAAAATGAATGTACATAAGTGCAGGTGCAGTATTTTGTAGCAATAGGAAGAACAGGCATCAATGTGCTTTTTCTTTGAGCATTTACAAGCATTGCTGACATACGCTGACTTATGTTTTCCAATGCATTTTTGTAGGGTTAACAGCCCTTGAAATTGATAGAATTAACAGCCATTGACCCAGTCACAGATGTGTAAATTGTAAACCAGCAAATAGAGGGCTTTACTGTTTTTTGCACCACTTATAGAAGATTTGTTTGGTGTGGCTGCTTGTTCTGTAGTTGCTTTGGAGGAAGAGCTTGTGAAGAAGAGCAGAAATAAAAATAAAATGTTACATTTTTCTTAGGTGTTGCCTCTCAAAACTTATATTTGTTTTAACTTTAAGGCCCCATGCACACTAGCTCCTATTTTTTTCTGCTGCTAGAAGCTAAATAGTGTTATCCTATGTGTCCATGCACACTATTTTAGGCTATTAGCATTTTATGCGCTTTAGCGTCTGAGAGCAGAAAAAAAATAGTTTTTGTAGACTGTTTTGGAGCTTTTTTCCAGCAGAAAAATATGCTAAATGCTTCTAAATGCTACTAAAACACCCCTAATAGCTTTTTTTTCTTCTCTATATGTACTGTAAAACCCCTAAAATTAACCTAAAACACTACTAGAAAAACGCTATTACCAGCATTTTTATCCAGCATTTTTTCCAACATTTTTTGAGCTTTTAAAAAAACGTGCATGGAGCTTAACTGACTTGTTTCCCAGCAAAAGATGTACTCCTGGCTACAAGATCACATAGTATTGAAATAATACCTAACATTGGTAAAACAATGACTAGTCCATGCATAGGTTAACCTCCCTGGCGGTATGATTATTTCCGATTTTTGGTGCTGAAAGCGGTACCATTTTTTTGCATGGAAATATGTAGTTTTTTATTGTAGGTTGTAATTTTTAGGAATAACTCACTGAAATCTGTCCGAACAAGAGTCTAGTAAACATTCCGGATATGATAAAACTTGAAACACGAAATCATAAATTATAATTTAATTAATAATCATGAAAAATAATAATATAATAATAATAATAAATTTAATTCAATAATATAATCAAACCAAAAAACACTGAAATTTGAAATACAGAGGCAAATTCGCACATCGCTGAGCAAAGTCGCAAAATCGTTTTCAGTGTCTGATGACGAATTTCCCCACGAATCATTATCACTCAATTCTGCAAGTGGTTCTAATTTACTATCGCTGTTCTCTAGCTGGTCCAAACCCTCTTTTGACATAAAGGGACGCTTTTTGGACGCCATGGACTTTTCTCAGTTTCCAGGCAGAAAGAACAGTCAAAATGTAGGCAGGGCACAGGACAAAGCAGTAGGGACAAAATATATGTGAAATGCATTGAAACAGCAATGTTTTACTATATAATAATCATTTTTTTAAAAATGAAATTTTTTTCAAATTTCAAATTTGCCGCCGGTTCCAGCGCCCGTACGTCGCGACGTCACAGGGACCGGAACACGGAAGCCAGATGCCGGCATCGGCCGGAGGAGATGGCCGGGGATACTGCAGGGGACACATCGCGGGAGCGAAGGACCAGGTAAGCGCTGCAGGGACTCCCTGAGCAACACCGCATGGTAAGCCCGAGTGTAGCTTGGGGTTACCGCTCTTGGTACTGAAATTGTACCACGAGCTACACTCGGGAATACCGCCAGGGAGGTTAATTAATGGCTGAGCCAAAAGATGTAATCCTGGCACCAAACTCATATAGTAACAACATGATACAACAAACTCAACATTGGTTAAACATTGGCTGATCAAAATCTGTTCAGACAACAGGATTCCACCCTACTCATAATCCTGTTTTACATCCGATAGTAAGTGTGTTGTGATGATGTATTCCTTTCTCACAAGCCTTCAACATAGCTGTCCCCTAGTGAGGTAAGAGGGCAGGAGGTGGCTGGAGGGAGACACATAGCTGGAGGAGTAGTTTGCATTAGTGTAAGAATTTTGGCATGTAGGCTGAGTGGGTGGGCATTGGCCTTGAGTGGGAGTTGGGGTATGTGGGTAAGCTCCATTGGGATTGAGCATGTGGTGGCTGAATTAATAGTTGCCTTTGGCTTGAAGCATAACAGGAGAATGTGTGTAGGTAGTTGCCAAGCGCTTGTAAGATGGTCATTTTTATTAACAGGTGATCCTCATGTGGAACCTCATCCACTAAGAGCAAATGCTTAGTAAAAAAAGGAGCATTAGGGTTGTCGTTGTCTTGATATTTTTCAGTCATATTATGTAAAATCTGAACATTACCCTCAGTCGATTTTTGTACTACATTCCTGCTTGAGGCCTAGGCAGTTGATTGCTGTGCTGATTGCATATGTTGATTTATTCTTGATGTGGTTCATCCCCTTCTTCATGTGGGTTGGGGTTGTCAGTTTCTTCATCATCCCATTCAATGACCCCCCATCTGCATTCAGTACTATTAATGTAAAAACATATTTGACATTCCTGAAATTAGAAAATTTCTATACGCAAAAAACAGACAGATATTGTACACCAATATCTCCATGTGACAGACCCAACCGGGACAGGGACTTTTGGGGGGGACTGCAGGCTAGCCTCTTGCCTACTTACTACAGGAGTCTTTAGGAGGTGTGAGCCTGGGGGACCTTTGGAGTAGTTTTACTTCAGATTCAAGTCCATGTCCCCCCAGAACCCACAAACTCTGAGAACTGGAGGACCCAGTTACAGAATTGGGGCCTCTGTGTTTTATTGAGGTCTCCTGCTGTTATGTGATTCCAAGGTGTTTATTAAGGTGTTATGTGTTTACTGTTATAATGTGTACCTGTGTTTGCCTATCCTGTCTAGGTGTGAAGTGTCTTTATTCTATTGAGTAATTTCCCCATTTTGTGCCTCATAGGTGTGAAATGACATTGCTAATGGAGTAATCTATTGTTTCTGTCTGTTTGCTAATCCTTCTGGATGTTATTAGCCTTGTGTCAGCTTTACCTCATTACCCAACCATTGTGGGATGTTTAGTTGTTGCAAATGGTCATGTGGCGACAGCCTCTATTTTTGAAGTGTATAAAAACCTGTATTTCTGTTCAATAAATTAATTCCTTTGGTCTTACCTCAACATCTTGTCTGTATATGATGTTTGGGGTAAAGGGCTGATATTAGTTATCAGTCTGCTGGAAGGGTTTGGAGGGCAGGAGGCACTGTTTGGCTGAGTCACCCAGGCAGGGTGCTTGGTGATCCATCACACTCCACATTTCTACGATGGTATTCAAAAAATGCAACTTCTAGGCATTCAGGTATTCCCAGCTTGCTCCCCCTAAATAGCCACTATTGGGTTGATTTACTAAAACTGGAGAGTGAAAAATCTGGTGCAGCTGTGCATGGTAGCCAATCAGTTTCTAGCTTAAGCTTGTTCAATTAAACTTTGACAATAAAACCTGGAAGCTGATTGGATACCATGCACAGCTGCACCTTCCAGTTTTAGTAAATCACCCCCCTATGTGTCTTCTTGCTGGTATTTGTAGCAAGTATAGTCATCTTTGATGCTCCTTCAGCAGGTCTTGAGGACATCAACTATAACAAATAATGACATGGTAATTCTTTGTTTCTTTTGCAGATACCTGGAATCAAGGTAATCGTTTTTCAGTTTGCATTATGATTTTTCTCATAGGGAAGTCAACTCAACGACATGCTGCATAATGTCTGACACATGTAAAATTCTGTAGGATATGTTATCAGAGAGGGTTATGAAGAAGCCAACTAAAGATGAATAGGCCAAAATGAGATCTCATTTGGGCATTATGGAAGTTCTCAAATTGTGTGGGGGGACAATAGATGGAAAGGAAATTCACCTGATTATGCCACATCTAGACACAGCAAGTTCTTTAACTACAACCATTTTCTTCTATTGTCTTACATGCTGTTGCTGATATTAATTATTGCTTCAGGTAGGTTGATGTTGGCTTTTATGGCAGTTGTGACTCATCAGTCTTTGCACACAACATGCTATTTAACTATTGACTGACATAGGCCCATCACATGCAGTACACATAGCAAAGGCCACATACACTCTGCACAATTATGTCAAGCACAGGGGTGGCTATCTCTTTGAAAACTGGCTGAGACAATACATGCACAGAGGACAATGTTATGCATTAAGCACAAGCAAGTTTGGAATCACAAACAGGGACAAATTTGCAAAATATTTAATGTTGCCTGAAAGCCAATAATAACTGGAGAGCATTTAGAAGTTTGTTTTTCAATTGTCAATTGCTGTGTATTGTTAAGAAAAAAAAACAAAACATTTTCAAGACACTTGTCTTTGCCAAATATTTTTTCAGTGTGACAGTTATGTACCTTAAAGTGACCATATAACAAGCTGGCAAGCATTACAAATAAATAACCCTATAAACGAAGAAGTGGAATCCCCCCCCCCCCCTTCCAGGGGGATGAAGGATGTCATTGATCTATTCAGGAGCTCTGCACAACACTGCTAGACAGCACACATGTCTATCTTACACCAAACATTAGCAAGCCTATAACAAAGTCTGTTGAAAATAAAATATTGTAAAGGCAGGCCAAATATCTGTACTAAAAGGAGTTGCAAGATGTTCAGCACTAGGTTCACAATCACCAATTTAATCATTATACGTTTTATGACATATCCAACTTATCTAAGCTACTTCTTCACTTCTCATTATATTCAGGAACATACCCCAGCATTTGCAGTGGTCTGTTCATGAAACTCATTAGGAGTGAAAAAGTGGATTGGAGAAGCTACAACACAATAGAACCAGTCCAGGTTAATGTGACTAACGTCTGCACTTACATTTCACATCGGCATTCTTACCCTGTGAACAAGGCAGTCTACAAGGGTTTGGAAGTAGATCTAATTGTTGTGACAACCAAAGACAAGGCCATCTCTGGATTTCTAATGTACTATCATGAGGATTAGTCACAGTTAGGCAAAAGGGTTATACCATATCAAATGAAGTTGAAGCACAACAGCACAAATCAGTGACTTTTGCCGTCTTGCTTGCTGTGCAGGTAACTGTGGATTTTGTTGTACATAAAACACATCAAAGCAAATATAATATTGTACAAATACTAAACACATACACATACAATGATATTTGGCCCTATAGTGGAATGGAAGTAAAGTGAGACTTATATTTTTGTTTTTATGTGACACACTGGATAGAGAAATATGCAAATTTCATCCAATGCCTAAATGCAGTGTTTGCATTCCTTGCAGAACCTAAGGGGGAGTCATAATGAGCATCTCTCCATCAAATACAGTTCAGGATGTAGCAGCCATACAGCCAAACAGAGAGCAATGACTATCAGTCAAGGCTCTCTGTTCTGCTCCTCCAGCATTAATGGAGTGCCAGACAGGGGAAGGGGAGGCTTTAGATGGCTCCATCTAACAGTCATGCACTGAACGTTGGAGTCGCCGGTAAATCAGGCAGCCAGGGGAATCCTGATAACATTATTGGGATCCACCTGAGCTTGACGTGCCTTTACCCCACTATCAGCTGACTCTGAGTTACAGGAGAACAAAAGTAAATGAATTCCTGTGACCCTAAAGGGAAGTACAGCCAAAAAAGCTTTGGCCATACTTCTCTTTAAAAGCACTGTATTTACTGTGTATTGACATTTGGATTGAAAATATCAATGTACAAGTTGGCAAAATGTATTTAATAATTTATTGTTAACAAATATATACAAAATAATTATTTCAGAGGATATAAATAAAAACCTTCTTTGGTAAATGCAGCTAACTAGATAGTGTCTAGTTAATGTTAACAAGATGAAGAAAAGCTAATACAAAATTATCATTATACTAAACATTACAGAAACATATACCAGTTAAATGTAATTAAAGTTAGATGCTTAATAGTGAACACATCACTGGAATTGTTCAAAGCCCATTCATTTTCGTTAGTCCATAGTAGTCAGACACAGGCTGGTATTCATTGGTCAATGAACTGCTAAAATCGAATAACTTAAAATTTTTAATTTGATCGTATGTTTTATGGGTTACAGCCCATATAAGCTCTGCACAGTTCATCCAAAATTACACTTCAGTAATGGTTGGTGAGCCAAATCATCCATTGTTATCTAATATCATGGGCTTTAAAGGTGAGGCCTTGCTGAATTTCTGTTTCTATCAAGCTCAAAACAGAGTGTCATTCCTCAAGACCACTCTTTATGCATTGTAAGACCATATAATGCCTCTAAAAATATTTGCTACAAAGTTTATGTTTAGCTTATATATAGCTTTGTGAATTAGTTTCAAATAGGTCAACTGGCAATGTTTTAGCCTTTTCATATACAATGTAAAAATGTATTCTGCTTCACTAATTTATCGGTATTTGATGACTTACTAGAGTTTATTTACCAAAGAAATACAGGCAAATTCACTTTGTAAAGTAGATGTTTACTTGGTTGAGTGAATAAAGTGAAACTGCATTCGCATTGAATATCCAATCATATTACTGCCATTGATTAATTAATTGATTGAATAAAGCATCAACTTATTTGCCAAGTTCAGTGATCACGCACCTTGCTAAGTAAATAGTCTCTACTCCACATGTAGATCAATGTCACTGAATATCCTTAAAATTAATGGGAAGCCATCAATCTTTGTATTATTTAAAGCAAACTGCCATTAGGAAGAAACCAAAGCATGTGAATTAAATAGAAACTTTATTTTAAATTATTATTATTATTATTATTATTATTATTATAATAATAATAATAATAATAATAAAAAAATAAATAGCAAAACAGCTTGTGCAGCAGTTTTAAAGGTTATAATGTATATAGGTAAGAGGATTGTCTTGGTTTTCCAAACTCAGCCACCACTACATTTTTAAAAAGGGTACTTTTTATGTCTGTAAATTAAGTGCTTTAAAATTATTAAACTAAAATAATTGAAAGCACCCATCCAAAAAAGTATCTATCGGTATATTATAGGGCAAATAGTAAACTGATCTGATGTACACCACTGCATTCTCAAATGAAACTGATTTTGTGGTACATAAACTCTAACTTACTCTTTTTTTTGCATAATTCCATATTAGTTGTCTGCAGTATGAAAACATTTTGTGATCACTACTACAGTATAAAATATTCAGTGTTGTTCAGTGAACAGAGGAGACTAACAATAACTCAGCATAAAGGAATAGAGTAGGCTGAGGAATAAAAGCTAGTTTTTGCTTGGTTATTATGGATTACTGTAAATTAATGCTCTTTATACTCTGTACTTTTATATGATAACTGAACATCCACCATTTGCCCAGCTGTTGGTTGGTGTCATCAGTACCTTAACAGTTGCGCTTTATGACTACCAGCTGAGGTATGTATTAGTGCACTTCTTGGATAGCTGCCTTAATACATTTAGATGTTAATATATAACAACATCATACATTTTACATGACGTGACAGTCTTCCACAAATACTTGTATGCCATTGGCTGACTGCTTTCCTTTCAGTTGACAAAGCCCTGTGCAGATCCAGTAATCCACTTCTATGATACTAGGGTAAAAAATAATATCATGAGTCATATCCAACTGAATTACCACCTTGTGAGAAGTCCAAAGTCTTGCTTCACCAAATTGATATTTAACAGTATATATAAATATGATAGGTAGACTCACAGAAACACTAAATCTTTAAATACAGGCCAGTAATGCTTGATTCACTTCAGTCAGTGCTGTGGTGAAGGATCTAATGACCAACACTCTTGTGTGTCACTGCTTGTTCCAGGAGAAGGGTCGCTGCTCTGGTCTATTACTGTCCAATGTTTTATATTTGAAAACTGAGGCTCAGGTTCAAAGACCCCCCAAATATTTGTTTGAGAGGTTGCTCCAGCTTTTGTTATTCCTTGGTCTGCCAAGATGTTAATGAGAAAATTGATGTATCTCATAGCCAGCCTTAAAGTTTCATTCTTGCTTAGCTTCTTGTCAGGTGGATGGGTAGGAATTAGTTTTCTCAGCTCAGCAAATGCACTATTAACATTTTGCTGTCTCCACCGCTCCCTTGTATTAAAGATCTTACGTGTCATTTTTGCAATAGGTTGTCTGAAAGAGATTATTACACAGAATCACTTTAAGCTGATAGTTACAGTTAAATCAGTGTTTCTCAAATACTGTGTTCAAGAGCCTTTGACAATTAAACGTTTGCAGATGTACATACTACACGGAGTAGCACAGATCTATTAAAAGGCATGTACAATTATCATGGGTATTACAAGGGTCCCTCACCTTTCCTGTTTGATCTTTAATTTGTTTTACCTATTTAGAATGACATTGCACCCAGCGGAAGAGTGGCAGATCCAGGAATTCTATAAGAGAGAGATATAAAAAGCCGGTAACTGGCTCAGCCCACCAGTGCCCAGACATAGTTTAAGGACTCGTCCACACCGTGGTACAGAGAAGTCAGTATTTCTGCACACGTTCAGCAAGGGCACAATTGAATCAGTTGTTCTCTATGTGCCCTGTTCACACCACAACACTGGTATCATGTGAAGATTTGTACTGCAGGAATAAAACGCGTATAAAACTTGTTGAAGTATGCATGAAAACTGATATAAACTGATGTCTCTGCAAGTAAAATCTGCATGTCAGTTTCCATAGGTTTTTATGCATGTATGGTGTGAATGAGGACTTAAATGTTAGTTTTCATTAAAAGCCAGTAACTGGTCCAGCCCAACAGTGCCCTGTCACTGCTGCAACATTCGTTTTGAGTGGACCCTTTAGATAGTGACAGTTTAAGATTTGGTACTCTACAAGTATATTTCAACTTAATGAACAATGTTTAAACCCTCTTCCTTCTTCAATGTATCGTAAATTGTTGCCATGTGAATGGAGGAAATTTAGCTACAGGATGCCGCCTAGTTTGACAGACGCCATTGGATACACTTGTAATGCATCAAGTAGCCTGCACCTGCAATGCAGCAGTCTCACTGAAAATTGCATCTATGCACCTAGCTATAACCATCTCTAATGATATGATCAGCTCACACAAAACTAATATTTTAGCAATGGCTGTATATTGCTTCTCTGAGTCAGACTTTAGCTTGTTATATCTGCCAAGGAATCTATGGGCAACCTTTGGGCAGCTGTGCCCTCTGCCATAGAGGGATGCATTCTATTAATTTACAATACATTCAAAATAAATCCAACTGCACTATACACCAGAATTAAGGATGTAGAGCGTATGGAAGAGATCACTGCTAGATTACACGAACTACTAGAACCCATAATAAGGTATGAGAACAGTGGAATCTTAGGGAGGACCCGCCCTGATGGCGTTCCTCCATGTTAGCCCGTCTGCCAGTCTAAAGGCTGGTGAAGAAGGCTGGTGATGGCGATGATGGAGAGTGCAGCAGTCTCTTCCTTCCTTCCCCCCCCCCCCCCCTTTTTTTTTTTCTCCTTCCTTCTTTTCCCTTTTATTTTCCTTTTTTCTCTATTGTTACTACATGGAGTATTTGATCTATGGCGTTCTATTATTGATATACTGCAGGAATAAAACTTCTCATGGCCTAGCTCACACGCAATTATGTTCTATGGAATGACAAAATTATCTGTGCTTTATTGTTTAAGTTTGTCACAATTTTGTGATATACGTCTGTTTTGTTTCATCTCACCCAAGAAAATTAGAACTTTCTTTCTTGCACTCTCAATGTCAACAATGCTGTAGAGTGCTGTATACACCGTGTAGGTTTTGAAATAAATAATAAAATAGTAATTATAAAAAATAAATAAATAAATCCAAATTTTAAAAACAAATGTGAAAACGCTCTAATAGAAATACTCTAATAATTACACCTGCAATTCTGTAAGAGATCTGCAAATAATGATGTGTTTGAAGTCCCTGTAGACTGCCTTGGCTTAAGATTTTTACAATTACATCATTTAGTTGTTTACATTTTGGCCATTTTTTCTGATACAATTAAACATTTAAACATATTTGCAAATTAAAAGGTCAGTATTTTTAATACATTTGTATTGTATCACAACTAAAAACACATTAGCAAATCTGATGGTGTCACACAGGGACTATTTGTTATGTAAGCATATTTTTTACATGCCTCCAATAGCAAGTAATTTTCTAAACCATTTTATTTGGAATGGAAATAGGTATTTACTACACTAACTTTTCACTCAGCAAAAACGCTTCTACAGTATCATGTATTTATAAAGAAGTCAATGTGAATTTTACCAAAATCTCACTGCACCTACAGTATATGCTTGGTAAAGGCTACATTCACTGCTTTATAAATATGCAAAACTCTCAGGAAATGATGTTCAGACAAAATATATTTTTTTAATTATTGAAATCATATTTTATATAGATATGATTTTATTCTAAAAAATATTTTCATTATTTTTATAATTTCAATCATTAAGGTTGTGAGTAATAGCATTCCAAGCATAAATGTATTTCTGAAAATACACTTTTAACACATTTTTTGCATTAAAGAATCAATATAAAGATACTGCAAAGTGTAAAGTATAAATAAAGAATTGAATTCAAATTATCATAGCTTGTATATTGTAATGTGCAATGTTAGAGTTTGAATACATTAATATATATCACAATTCCACTAGCAAATATATTTTAATATACGTACAAAGGTAAAATCACATTTTAAACATATTGCTTCATTATTATCAATTATCTGCTGTAATGTTTGGTTTGTATCTACACTTTCAATGGCATGTAATATGCCTAAAATTAAGGTTACAGCTGTAATAGTGATTAGTAAAATACTCACAATTGTAATAAACTTACCCTAAAAGTTGTTCTTATTGTTTGTGCTGGTTGGTAATGTTCACAGAAAACCATGTAGCATTATGCACCTGCAGTGTATCCAGTTGTATCTAGGCAGTACTGTCAGCTTCTGACCATACTGTGTTAACTAGCAAATGCGAAGACCATGGTTTCATTTATAGCAAGCCTGCCTCTTTGTCCGACACGTGTCACTGCTGGTTCCAGTGATGCTTGCATATTTTCCTATCCTCCTGGGAGATTTGGTGCATACAGACCTCTTGTCTATCCAGTGGCAAGTACAGGATTTTGGGAAGGGGGATACCTAATTTGCCTTTACTAGAATGTGAATATCCTATGTATGTACTGTAGCTACATTACTTAAACAGAAAATCATGTACACATTTAACAAGTTAAAATGACAGCATGCAATTAAAAAGAGAAGCCCGTTTGGTTAGTGTTCATTATATTTGTGGTTAATTTTAGTTGTTTTCCTATGTGTTAAATAATAAAAATGTTTCATTGAAAAAAAAAAAAAAAAAAATATATATATATATATATATATATATAGATAGATAGATATACCTATAGTTAAAAGGATAATCATACTTTTAGAAAAGGTACAGTTATTCTACGGGCCGCCTCCCTGATCTGTCGTAACTAACTACCCCCCCTTCCCAATATCTCTTTAGCTAGTTCATAGTGCTCTGGGAATTCTTTTTCATGTAAAAAATTCAATTTTTTTTTGTTTGTTAAGACAAAATTCTTTCATGTTCCAAGCAGTATACCGTATAATGACTGGCAAAAGTGCTGTTCATGATCAGGATAAGAGTAAACAAGCTGAGAATAAATGCAATCCACACAATCACAGAAGTAATTGAGGACAAGAACAGTTATAGAGATATCAGAGTCAGACAGACTTCTATCCATGGCCTGAGCAGAAAAAAATTTATCTCTGGATATATACATATAGATATGCCTATAGTTAAAAGGATAATCATACTTTTAGAAAAAGTACAGTTATTCTACGGGCCGCCTCCCTGATCTGTCGTAACTAACTACCCCCCCCCCCTTCCCAATATCTCTTTAGCTAATTCATAGTGCTCTGGGAATTCTTTTTCATGTAATAAAATTTGATTTTTTTTTGTTTGTTAAAACAAAATTCTTTCAAGTTCCAAGCAGTATACCATATAATGACTGGCAAAAGTGCTGTTCATGATCAGGATAAGAGTAAACAAGCTGAGAATAAATGCAATCCACACAATCACAGCAGTAATTCAGGACAAGAACAGTTATAGAGATGTCAGAGTTAGATAGACTTCTATCCATGGCCTGAGCAGAAAAAATGTATCTCTGGATCAGGCACCAGCTGAATGTCCACTAAGTTTATGTTTTTATGATTAGAGTAGGTATGCATTGCAGAGACATAAGCTGTAGTGCTGAGTAATGACCAATAGATGATGAAGGCCCATGGATGATTTTTAGATATATCCAATAGAGGGCCAGCAACAGAAGCAAATATGGGCTCAAAACACTGATTTATTTATTAAAGTAAGTTTATAACCGCAAAATGTTGCAACTTTCTCTTTCCTCCTGAGGACTGTTAGATTGCTAATTGCAACCTGTGAGCATCCGGCTAATAATTTAAAAGGGAAGCAAGACAAAAACAGCATGGTACCTCAACACAACAGTACCAAAACAGTTCTCAAATGCACCAAGCTCATAAGAACTTCATCAGAAAAACAAAAGTTTAACTTCTTCCTCTTGCATACTTTGAGATTTCCTTTTGGCCCAGTCAGAAAGTACTTTTTTCTTTCAGTGGGCTTTTTTTACATGGAGCCTTGTGCCAGCTGGGCAGTCTGTTCATGCCTGGTCTAGTGTCTTATAATACACATAACTGTTGGGGAGTAAAGTGGTAACATCCTTACCAGCAAGGATTATGGTTATGAGTCTATACCTGATTCCATTGTTGTGATGCTGCATTTAACGAAAAGCTACAAGATACGACTGACTGGCTCTACTGCCCAGGATGACAAACTGCCTTGCTTGGTTTTTGGAGTCCTGTTTTTATTTTATATAGTACTGTATAAATAAGTGTGTATATTGCAAAGAGCCACACTCCAAAGAAACAGATCATATCACGGTTCCATTGCCAGAATCCCAAATTATATAGCTAATGTGAATCTATTATATAAAATCATATGTCTACCATTTTGCAAGTGGGACAAAAGGAAAGATTGTATTAGTTGCATACAGTACATCCTGGAAACTGGGAAAAAGCTAAGATACAAA